TTTAATCAGAATAATTTCATCATCATTTTCCATTTACTGCTTGTGATTTTTTTCATGACTAACAAATTTTATTATAATAGAGAATTATGACGATTACAACCGTTTAAGAATTAAATAGTGCAGCTTATATTGTTTGTTTATAGAAGCCGTATTCTTATTCTTGATTATCTCATGAAATGTAAAAAAATATATCTCGCGAAATATATATAATAAATGTAAGTAATTTTTAATTATTATAATAATATATGACTTGGAAGTCATATCCATATATCTATAATAAATTAATTTTTTTCATGAACAAAAAATTTTTTATAAAAAATTAAATGACAACCGCTTAAATAGTGTAATTTATATAAATAATAATCTATTCAGAAATCATCTTGTTTTTATTCTTGAGCATTATCTTATGAAATGTTGAAATATATCTTGATAATAAATATGGGCAACTTTTAATCATTGTAATAATATAACTTAAAAATTACACATATTTATAATTTTTCTCAATAATTTCATTAATATTTTCTACTTATTGCTTGTAATATTTTCATGAACAAAAATTCTATTGTAGGGAATCAAATGATAATTACGGCCATTAACAATTAAACAGTTTGCATTTATTCGATCTTTCATCTATTTGAAAGCTGTATTTTTCCTCTTAAGCTTCTATATATCTCATGAAATGTAAAAATCTATCTTGATAAATCTATCTTGCATTAAAGAAGCGTACCAGAATGATAGATAAAAAAATTGATTTATTTTTGTTACTTAAAAGTTATACACTTATCGAAAAATATATTTCTAAATTTCCACTTCGAATTTAGGAAAGAAATAACAAAGTTATGGAACGTTTCAGAGAAATCATTCGACTGTACGGCATGGATAATACTTTTGGTGTATGAATCATTGACATGGAATGTTATGAATACGATTGTTATTTCTCTGGTTTTCGGCCGGAGGCTCCGGTTTTTTGAATGAATTTCCGATTTTCCGGCAGATGAAATAAATCTTGGACTAATCACTCTTAAATTTTGATGATCTTTTTTTAAATTCGTGCGTCGATTTTTTGCAAAAGAAATTTTTTTAACAGAAAGAGCTACGAGAAAATATCAATTTTAATGTAACAATCAAATCTCCGGATAGTGAGATCTCTAGCAAGGAAACCGTTCATTTCTAGTAGAACAGTCAAAAGGTGGCACCCGTGGTTATGGCCTACATCAATAGAATGTTACCTGCATCTACCTGACATCAAAAAATCTTTTATGTAAGTATATTTGAGAAGAAAAAACTTAGAGAGCAGAAAGATTAATAGATCTAGAAAGATTATTAGATCAGTTCCACCAACGTAAGATTAACTTTAATTTCAATTTAACTTACTTGACTTTTTCTAATTTTTAAAATAGACTTGACAATCGTCAGAAAGATTTTTAACGAAAAAAACATTTTTATCCTATATTTTTCATGAAAATATTCATATTTAAAGAAATTTTGTAAGTTTATTGATTATTAAAAGAATATATTTGATGTTTATTGCTTAAAATATATTTTTTAATTCATAAAAAATGAAGCTTGAAAATAAATTACTAATATAGCTACATATGCAAAATAATTTAATTTTTTAATCATCTGTGCCTTCATAAAAATTTATAAGCGCGATCATGTCTACATTAGTAATAAAAATATGTTGAGAATTTCAAAATATTTCACATTAATTTCTGACAAATCCATTATCGTTATTCTAAAAAAACAATTAAAATGTGTGAATATAAATACTATAAATAAATACTATAATGACAGAGTTTTATTGTCACTCTTATAACTTCTTATAATTTCTAAAATTTTCATTTTTACCGTAAAATAAAAATGATTATTTTAAGTTTAGAAGAGAGAATATAAACTCAACCTTGAGATAAGACGAATCCAGAATACATAGCTTAACATTAAATAATCATAAAAGCTTTATGTCGGAGTTTCGTTATTCCTCGGGAAATTACATTCTTTCGATAAGGTCTGACAAAGAACGAAAACGCGAAGAGTTCATAAACAAAGCAGTCGTGACGGCAATTTCGATAACGATTGCAGAATTTTTGACCGTTACGATTCAAATATTTAGTTTCGGTACATTGAACAAATAGTGCACGCAGTTGGATTGCAATCGTAAACATTGAAAATACGTGCAATAACGAAATGATAAACAAAGTATTACCTGCTGCATTTTCAATTCCATAACTCGCTACTTTCGCGAGTAATTGCGCTCATTGTGGTAATTAAGAAAATTGCTATTAGGAGCATGACAAAAATACATAAATAAATTTATGAGATACAAAGTATGAAATGTAATGTTAGCAAAATAAGAGATATGATGTTAAAATTAATCTTCTTTAAAAATCCAATCCAACATCAACATAAATTTAAGAATTGGGTTGTCCGGAAAGTTCGTGCCGATGTTGAAGGAAAATTGAAACGCAGAAAATTTAAATTTTAGTATACATTTATTAAATTATATAGGTTAGTCAGCACGAACTTTCCGGACAATCCAATATTACACATATTTTCAAAATAATGAAGAAGTTATTAAGACATTACAGTTTATTTTAAATCGCATTTAAAAATAATAAAAAATTTAGTTACTGTACTATCTGGATCAGGACTTATTTCAATATAAGAAATATTATTTTTTTAAAGAATGTGAAATGTAAAATGTCAATTTGAACCAGGGCAGTTATACATGTACGAATTTATTGGAGTACGAATTTATATACATAAATGTCTTCAATATAAACGTTTCAAATAATTTTAATTTAATTCAAATAAATTCAAATAATTTTAACATACAGAAAATCTGCAAATCTAATGATAGTATATGAACTTAATGATTATGGTTCGCTGCATTTTGGTAATCGCAAATGTAAGTAAAAATAAGTAATAATAGACTTTAAGAATTAATTATAATTAATTTATTAGAAAAAAAGAAGTTTATAGCCCGCTCTTGTAATTAATGTATTTTATCTAATTGATCATGAAATCGGATGTATGAGAAATTGACCATATTATATCATTGTAACACAATATTTTATTATGAATTTGTAAGTGGATCCACAACTGAAGATCGAAATGTTTATATTAAAGACATTTATGTATACCTTCAATAAAATAAATTCGCACATACATAACTGGTGCCCGGCTCAAATTGGTATTTCACACATTCTTTGATTTATTCTTGAGAGCCTAAATTTAATTTTCTTTAACTATTTTTTAAATCTGTTCTTCAATAGAAATATATGGAAATGTATTACAAAATAAGGATAAAATTCTCAATTTTTTAATACAAATACTTTGTTCCTTTTTATTTAAATTTATAACGATAAAAATAATATCAAATAAAGTGAAATTTAATAAAAATATGTTATTCAAAAAAACTAAGAAATAGATTGTTAACAAATACAACTTTCACAAGTTTATTTAAAGTTTATTTAAAGTTTATTTAAAGTATAAATATTAATGTATTTGTAAAATATTGGGTTGTCCGGAAAGTTCGTGCCGCAAAAAATTTAAATTTAATAAATGTATACTAAAATTTAAATCTTCTGCGTTTCAATTTTCCTTCAAAATCGGCCAATCCAATAGATATAATACATCCAAAATAATCAACATATGTATGAATAATTTCTAGATCCAAAATACTTGAAAGTTGATACGAATTTGATTTTCGTTTGAGAGCAAATGTAGAGCAAACATGGATTTATTATCCGGAAGGAGAGTTTTAGAATCTAAATCTCAACAAGGACAATTAAAATTTAGACGAAAGATTGTGTATTGCCTCTGTGAAAATTTAAAGATGTGCTGCGTTGGATTTCATCAGTCTTTAGGATCATCGAGACGGCACTCGAAGGTCAACCACTTCCGAGCGTCTTTACTGGCGCACACATCTGGTTGTTAAAAGTATGTATAAACGCAACTCAGGAAATTCAATTTCCTTTTTAAGCGTGCGTAATTTGATATTTTTTTCTCTTCCCTTTGGAAGAACGCACGTCATAACTTTTGCAATTTTTTATCACAATACCTTTATTGTAAATAATCGAAATCCTCACAAGTCGCTTTGAAAGAAATTATATTATACTAAATATTATGGAAATTGAATATCATAAAAATAAAAATATTTCAAGACCGAAAGAAATTCATAATCGCCATTCATTTAGCAATTGGGAAAAAATAATACGTAGTCTCGGATTCGACATTTGAGTGAACGTTGTATTTTTTTAAATGTAATTATTCACATGGGCTGTTTCTGCTCCAATATTAAATATTAATTTTCTTTGTTCTCTTTGGTAATTTATAATTAAATAAAGATTGTGATAATATTCTATACATCCTTTAAATAAAGATAAACACAAAAATATTTTTTTTAATTATGAAACAATTAGCGCTAAATGTATTAGTGTGTAATATAAATAGCATTCATTATTTAATAAATTTCTATGTTCTGAATATTCGCGAATGAAGAGTTAAAGAAGATGAATAGCTTCTTGTAGGAGAGATCATTCCAGCAATATTACAATATAATATTACAAATATTGCAGCAATATTATTGCAAGCTTCTATGCTGTACGAATTATTTTATTAATATCGTTACTTCGTATACTTTAAATTCTATTTTTAAATAAAAACTGAAAAAACTGATCAGCACAAAGCGTAGGAGGTGCACGATTTCATCGAAAAGAGGATAATTTATAATCAATGAAGCTCCTCGTCTGCAAAAAATTTATTATATGGTTCTGGAATAGTCGGAGTAAAATGCATAAAAAATTATTGTTAATAATTTCTACTGCTTTCTGACGCACGATTTTTCTATAGAGAGAAAAAAAAAAGAGAATGACTGTCTCTTGCGTCATTTCTTGGAGAGGTCGAGTCGCGCAATGCTGCGACTAGCCGAGAGTCACTCTCACCGTTCGCTTATGTATGTAGGTACGTGTTCGTACATTTCAATTTCTATTTATACATACCTGCGTGTCACTCGTGGGACGCTCAGAGGTGATCACGTTCGTGAGCACAGAAGGTCCGTGTGACGAGTCGTACCGAAGCGGACCGGAGGGCAGCTGGCATTTGTCGGATCGGAAGAAAAGACAACGAACGGGTTCCTTCCCTCGCTGTCGCCGCTCGCTTGTCCGCCCGGTCGAACCGGGCGCGGACACGTACGCGTGCGCGTGCACGCACGCACGCACGCGGGCGCGATAATTCACGAGTTTAAATCACGGTCATTCCACTCGCGCACGACCTTGTTCGAGAACCGTATAAAAATTGTATAGCGACGCAACAGTGAGCATATAGTTTTCGTCATCATTCCCGCATTGCATGACCGCTTTTATGACCCCTCTATCCCCGCTTTTTCTCCACCCGCTCCCTTTCTTGTTCTTGAACTCGACTCAGGAAAGCAGCGATCTTTCTCTCTTTCTATCTCCCCTCCCCCCCCCTCTCTCTCTCTCTCTCTCTCTCTCTCTCTCTCTCTCTTTACAAAAGCGAGATAAAACTTAGCTATGCAACTTGCGATACTTCAATTCTCGTCTGTACTTATCTCATATTTTTTGTATTTTTATTTTATTTGATTTTATTTTCGCTAAATTCCTCGAGTTTATACATATATTTCTTTCTTTTCTGTAATTAATTTTTTTAAATTGTGTTATAAATCTTCTTTATTCTTTATATCACTTTTATTTCAATTTATTCGTTTTTAGAGGACAGTCCTAGAATACTAAACAAGTGCTCTTTCTCTCTCTCCCTTTCTTTCTCTTCCTCCTTCTCTTTCTCTCTCAAGTGAAATCACTCTCGAGAAATCCTGTTCGCTCGAACTTCTCTCATCGAGATAAGAGATTCTTTCAGATTCTTCTCTCAAATTCAAAGAGATTTTTCTTTTGCTCTTTTCTTCTCTACATCTCTCGCTCAAAATCCCATTTCGGTTCAGAATTCTTTCCCGGCGCAAAGCTGAAAGAGAAATCCACGCCGGCTAGCGTGATTGTGCTTACCATTCAAGCAATTCGTAATTAAAAAATAACGCAATTCGCAACCACTTCTCGCGTCGCAGGCGCAATATCGTAAATCGTTGCACGACGCGTCAACGGAGACGCGATCGATCGACTCGCACGCTCGATCTCCGGCAGGAGACCTTTCTCGCTTCGATTAACATTTGCTACGTTCACCTCGATAACAAAACCGGGTCGGGCGAGGGTGACTCACACCAACCGGCGAGTCTCGCGGTCGACGAACGCGATGAATTTTATTGTGTTATATGTTCCTCGCCTCGGCCGGATTCGGCAATCACAGTAACGTGAATTGAAGGGCTGTCAATCGATAACGAAATCGATAATATATATAATAAAGAATGACTTCACTCCGAATCTACAATTGACAACAGTTCTCAGAGGTACCTTTAGGAACTTCGGAGTAAACGATTTCCCTTGGATTCGATTGAAGACAATTCCTTTTTTTTTGTTTTTTCTTTATACTTTTTTCGCTGTTATTCAAATGCAACGTGAAACGCGAAAATCTAAACGCGATGCACTCGCGAGACGCGCGCGAGAGATACTCGCCCCTTTGCCGGCGATTCGCTTGGAGAGACGATCCGCTCGTCTCTCTCCTCTCGTTTTTTTTTCCTCTCCCTCTCCCTCTTTCTTTGCTCCGTACCCTTTCTCTCGCACACTTATTCTCCTTCTCTGTCGACTTGTTCCTCCCCTCCCCTTTCTTTCTCTCTCTCTCTTTCTCTCTCTCTCTCTCTCTCTCTCTCTCTCTTTGTCCTCCAAGTTTTTCTCCCTTGTCGTCTTTCCCTTTCGTTCTTCCCTCCTCAAATTCGATTCTTTCTTCCTCCCTTTGTATCTTTTCTCGTTTTTTTTTCTTTCTCTTTCTGTCGCAACGAGCGCGTGCCACGTAACAGCTCTATGGGTTTTAAGACGAGTACTTCACGGTGTCCGCGTAAGGCACGCACTGAGAAAGAACGAGCTGCCGACTGCGAGCAACGGACTGCAAGTCCGCGTTCGTCCGTTCACCAATTCAACCGCCGATCCACGCACCCACACGCACGCACGCGCGAGGTGGCGGAAGGGGAGAAATAAAGAGAGAAAGAGAGAGAATCGCGAGTCCGGTCTATTGTAGAGAAAGGGAGAACGAGAGTGCGCGCGCGAGAGAGAGAGAAAGAGAAATACAAGAATCTGAAGGTGGAGGATGGGGAAAGGGGAAGGGAAAGAGGGTTGGAACGAAAGAAACAGGTAAGAACGAGCCGGGATGGATGCGAAAATCAAGAGATAGAATTGTTGCTCCGACGATATCATTGACCTTCGTGACACTTATTGTGGAATATCGATCGATATTTAAGAATGCGATTACTGATAGAATGTGTATTAGGTATCAATTAGAATCATAAACAAAACGTGAAGGACATTGTAAAGCGATCCGCAATACCAAGTGCATCATATTAATTATAGCGAATTCGATCACTTGTATATTATATTAGGTAATTAGTGCATTTTAAAAAGTCCTATACATGAAATTATGAAATTTGCAAAGTTAAATGTAAAAGCGTAATATATGAATATTTGAAACGATTCAATGTCCAATATAATGACAATGATATATTGTATTATTTAATAGAATATGTATGTATTATTTAATTATGCCATTGTATTTAAATACTTTATATAGAGAAGTCTTCTTATTTTATATTATGTGTATCAAAAAAAGTACACAATTAACTTTTATAAGAAACTTTATGTACCATACACAAAAAATATTTATTTTAATAAACATAGTTTTGTTCTCTCATTTTTGTATATTTATTAAACTGAATGAATTTATTAAACTGAACTAAATTGAAATTTTGTTTAACAAAGTGGGTTAGTTTTCTGAATCAAATTAATTCAAAAGAAATAGTAACTAAAGTGCTAATGTGCACTAATCCAGAGTAATGCGATCGAATTCATTATTAGAATCGATATGTACCAAGAAAATATATTTTGTTGAACGATAGACTCTTTGAGATTCAAAATGAATTCGCGAAATGCTTTGCAATTTATTTATAATTATTTATAAGTACTAATTTAATTTTGCTGATTTAATACAAGCGCCGATCGATGCACATTCTTTCCGAAATATCAATGCTGCCGGAAAAAGAACATTTGACTGATATCTGTGAGAGTCAAGAAAGATTGACAGGTAGAAATGAGAGAAAAGCAAAGAGAGATAAATCACATCGATGTAAATTGTTCGCGTATTCTCTTTCGCACAGAATGTAACAATGTAGATATCTATCGCCACATCACGTACGATTCTATCGTCGCAGCGCTAGAGATTGTATTGAAATTTTGTATTCAAGTGCATCGAATTTCGAATTTATTGGGATTATACAGATTTTTCGATTTAAATAATTTGAAGCATCGCTCGATTCGATACAGAGAAAATGATTATCGATTTTAACTTGTTGAATAACTATAATCCGATAATTTAATTTATGAACAGCAATCGACAACAGAATTGTGGAAACCATCGCATCGTATTATCTTTTGATTTCTTTGTTATAAAAGCAAGATAGAGAGAGAAGACGAAATATTAGAAGAGAAAGAGTGGAGAAAAAGAGAGAAATAAAAAGAGAGAACGGATGCGAAGGCGGATATGGAAGCTTGAGATTGGTCGAGCCTTGGGTCCAGCCATGCCGTTTGCGGACAATCACAAGATCCTATCACAACTCAGGTGCAACTATAGCCATAAACTTACAACCTACACGCGATTAAATACAAGTGAAATTAAAACAGATATCTTAAAAAAGAAACGTAGAAGATTTTCAATAAAAACAATTTATTTGTTCAAAAAAGGTAAACAGATTTGTAATCTTTTATATATTTGATTAAAGGAATTACATATCATATATACATATCATATATTACAAAATAAAAATACTTTAATTATATAACATTGAAAAATTTGCGGTTAAATTTGCAAAAAAGTTACATTAGTGTATATTATATTATAACTATGATATATAATGTTTTAGAGAAATTTTATTAGTCATAATTAATGTTGTTAAGAACTATCAGTCCTTAAAAGGAATTTATTTTGTATTATAATTAAAATTATAATACAATTATAATTAAAAAATAAAAAATAAAATTTGATAGATTTTTAATAGCCTATGTAAATTGTAACTTTGATACAACAGATCTTATTAATCATAAAAATATCTTTTTAAACATATGATAGGTGATTTATTAATATGTCAAAATACTAAAATATTAACTAAATATTAATTGGTAGAACAATTTGATAAAAAGAATTATATTCACTAGTGCTAAAAAAAAAGTATGAGAAACGATTATCTTCGTTCGTGTATATTTTTTAATCAAATAATATTATCATTGTACAAAATATTATAAAAATATTTTTTGAAGTTTTTGAATTTTATCAAAATGATATAGTCCACTGTAAACTAAAAAATGTGATTTTTTTCTATATATTTTACATATATTTAATATGTATATAAATTGTTATATATAAAATAAAATTTTATTACATGAGATATATAATAAAATTGATACATTTGAACGAATGTAACAATAATACAAGTTTTAACATCTTATTAATGTGTATATTTATCTTTCCTTGAAATCAATTCATTAAGTCTCCTTTCTAACAAGTCGGCATCTAACAGATGTTTGCACAGATACTGACCTTCTAAAAAGAGGACTGGTATATCATACTTATACAACTGGAAATACTGTTCATTTCCTTGTGCAGCTATATCAATTTCTTCCAATTGATAACGACCGGCGAAACGTAAATGCAATTCGTTCTTTAAAACGTCGCAAAGCAGACATGGGCTCTTTGTGTACAATGATAATTTTGGTGGAGAAGATATCGGATGGGACCTAAAAATCATATAACATGCTTCTACTTTTGAGAGATCTCCTTTGCACATTACAATTCAACAAAAGTCAAGAAAATTAATCAAGTTACTGATGTAAAACAGTTTATTTCTATATATTCATACAACAAAATATATAATGCAACGAGACATATGCAGTATACAATAAAATATATAATAAAAATATATCGTAAAAAATATTTTTTAAATACTTCCATGTAAAAAATTTAAAAGCCATTTTATACGTACATGTATCGTAGAAAAGTGTAAAATGTTCTAAAACAATAATCTTATACACATAAGAAAAGCTGAATCTTTTAATTACAGTATTTTAACAACTATTTAACAGTTGTTAACTATGATGCAGTACTTTAACAACATACAACATATTTAGTATAAAAATATTGCTTTTTTATGTACTTTTTTATGTATTTATATTATCGCGATATTAAAAATAAATTGTACAGTTTGTACAAATGGAAATGACATCTGTGATAATCTTCGAACTTACAATTTTTCAATTAGGATTGATGACGCTCCGCCACCCCCGTTGCAAATTGATGCGATGCCTTTTTCTCCAGCTTTAAGTACATGCGCCAAGTGTACTATGATACGTGCTCCTGACATGCTATAAGGTTTATATTAATTTTATAATTAAGATGTATGAA